CAGTTCCAACTGTCTTATGGGCATCATCACAATCGCTGCTACTTCATGGAGTATTATGATGAAATGAGAAAATTAATGAATTAATGGGGGCAGAAAGCCAGGTCAGTAACCAGAACAGAGTAAGAGACCAATAAATATTGGATGATATAGTGATATCACTATATAGTTTATAGTGTATATAGTTTTATTTTGGTGAAACAAAGACAATGGGGCAGGAGAACAGGGCTGGATCGCCGAATGTGGCTGTGTGGGGTGGGGCACAGGCTGGGAGGGCACAGATGTGGAATGCCAATGTGGAGTGCTCCACTCCCTGCTGAGAAAGAACAGGGCATCCTGGAGTCAAAAATAGCGAGTAGGAAGAACACAATAAATCCCAAGCAAGTGTCTGTTGCGATTCCAATGAACATTTCTGTGGTTGCCTTTTCTAAAACAGTTATTCATGGGTGGCTGTCTTCTTGGTTGCCAAAATCCCATAATACAGCACACACAGGCTTATGCCTGATTTCGCCGGTCTTCTGCTCTGAGACTTAAGAATGTGGAAAATTAAGTGAATCCTGGTATCCATCAGAGACCAACAGAGGCCACTCAGAATCTTAAATCAGAAAAGGAAATGAACCAGTCTACTTGCATCTTGAATTTTCTTTTTAAAAGTTGCCCTCTCTGGCTTTGCAGCCGAGACTTCAATATTTTATTCAATGGATATCTGATGTGATACATTTTAGAACTGACAGCTGTTCAGATGAATCAGTCACCTCTGTGATGAGTCAGTTATACAAGGGCTTTTGTTTCCTGAGAACTTAACCTCTTTCCCCCATTCTGGCCTGCCTCTAAAACCACTTCCTTCCACAATAATGACATTTCTCTGCACAGGTATATTTGTTCAGAGACGGGATCTCTAGCCAGCCTCTTAAATGAGAGGATCTGAGAATACCAGAGCTGGAAGATCCTGAGAAAATTGTCACTGAAGAGATGAGAAAACCAGCGAGAATGAGACACTCGCCCAAAGTCACATAGCAAATTTTTAGCAGAGCTAGAATTAACATCCTGGCTTTGTGACAGCTCATTCCATTTCCATTCACTACTCCACAAGGTTTCTCAACTTAGCTGGGGTAATCCAAGGCAGGAAGCAAATTTTCCCCATATTTCTCACTAATCAAAGGAAGTTAGGAACACTGTATTTCAAACACTTGAATAAACCTTGATGACATTAGAAAGAGAATCTGAGGTGGGAAAATCACAATGCAAATGACAGGGCTTGTTGATTGGAGCAGACATGAAGTAGACAGGGCTAGTGTGGATCCAACTGCCGAAAATCTCCAAAAGCATCAATGTGAGACTCCCGTGCGGCCCCCAGGGACCCATCACGTACAGTGAGGGTGTGGACAATGGTTGACAATGGGCCCAAGCCAGAAACCATCCTTTGGGCTTTCTCAGTATGGTACTCCAATGGGAAATAAAGCATACAGAAGACGTGGCATTCCAACTTTTTAAAAAAGAAAAATTTTTAAAGAAATCTGTGTACAGATTTTGCTTTCAACAATTCTGACTTTTTAAAGTCTGTTTTACTTCTGGACTTTAGAAAACCAGGAATGTAATCAATAGACTGTACCATCCTGACATTGCCCCAGGAAAAGTTGTGCAAAAGAATGACAGCCTATTTATCCATTGTAATGACCAGCTCTCTTCTTCCTTTCCTGCCACCTTGATGTCATCACTTCAAAGCTACAGTGCTCTCAATTTCAATCAGAAATCTTTGAAAAAACTTTCTGATCTCTGGTAAAATAGCCAGCTTTCCTGACCTGTATAATTTTTAGTCTGGTTAACCAAGGGTGTTTCTAATCAAGTTCAAATGGAAGCCTGGCTCCACCGTGGGGCCTATGACAGAGGACCTGAGCTCTTTGTTTGATACATAGCTCTATTCCCACCTACAGGAGTCCCAAAGCAGGTTTCAGATTTCCTTGACTCAAAGCACTAAGGCTTAGAATCGGCCTAAAATCAAGGGCCAGGGCTGTCCTTCTTTATCTGTTTGTGTGAAATCAATTTTCTTGTACACTATTTACTTCTCACTTCCCTTGAGGGCGTCTTGGTATTAAAACGGGATTTCATTTTATGATCTATTCCTTTTTCCATTTACAGCAATTGTTCTTGAAACTGACCATGCAAAAGTATTACCTGGAGCATTCTTTAAAACAACATAAATTACAGGGCTCCTCTCTTGGGTAACCGAATCCAAATTTCCTGGAATGAGGCCTGAGAGTCTATATTTATAAAAAGCTTCCCAGATGATTGTACCAGGATTTATAGTCTAGTTACATATTTCCTTCCTTCCTTCCTTCCTTCCTTCCTTCCTTCCTTCCTTCCTTCCTTCCTTCCTTCCTTCCT